AGTGTTTCCACACCTACTGTGTGGTGCTTCCTCGAACAAAGAATCTGAATCAGTTTCGCTAGTTGCAAGGAACGCGACGAGACACTGGGGATATTTTGCGAAACGGCGAACGTTCTAAACGGTCGTGATGAAAAGCGAGAATCGTTCTTGAGAATCGAGTTCTTTGGTGAAACGGAGGTTACCTGGAAGGAATTATCCTTGATAATACTTTGGAAACTGAAAATTCTAAATAGACAGATATCGTGAAGTATACTTTGGTGAAGAGGAAATAAATTTGTTGAAGCACGAAAATTACACTTCTGTCGGGAGAAACAAACTTTTTTAAGGAACAAAAATTATAAATACAATCAATCGAAATTTGATATAAAAAGAAACAATATATACGAATAAAATATTTATCCATTTGCTGGAAGAAATTATTTCTTTTAAAATCTAAACACCACGATTTTAACTTGACACTTAAACATAAAAATCTTTTTGAGAAAGGGTCTCGATATTAATTATTAATGTGATTTCCGTAAAGCGAAAGTAAATGAAATAGTTGGCAAACAGATTGCAGCTACATTTGTGTTTTAGTAATTCTTTATCTACAATCCTCCCGTTCGTATCTCAAGTACGATCTTGATCATCGTCCGTCAACACTTTCATAATGTTCTGGGAATCATTTCAGTTCGTTGCCTCAATAAGAGCAGTACGTGCCAAGAATATTTAACAATGCTTTCTACAAAGGCAATTCTACCAAGTTGGCGTGTTCTAAAACCTAACTGAAACGTCAACTATTTACCTTTCGTTTCTTACCATTTTTATTCCCACTTCACAATTGCAAAAAGATATTTGCAAAGATAAAAAGTGGGTGTGAAATATTCACGTGGAACACAAATATCAGATATTCGTAATACGATCTTTCGCTGATTGCAAATGAAACACGCGTTGGGAATCATTATTCGCGGGGAAAAATTAAATCGAAGGGGAGAAGAGAGTTTAAAAGGCTGATGTTTACGCGCGTGAATCTCATGAATCTCGAGCGGTACTAAAAACACGAAAGAAACGGGGCTGAAAAACAGGAATCGCGACGAATTAATTTGACGGGACGATCGCCCGTAACGATATGAAACAGTCACTTGACGTCAGGGGAAAAGGCACCGGCTGATCCACCGTACTTTATGCCAAAAGTTTGCGCATCGAATCACATTCCCTAAATCAAACGATATTAACCGAGCGTCGCCTTTAAATCTGGCGACAAATTCCCGAACATCCGTGTAAACGTTTTACTGGAACAAACAAGCGTAATTCTCGCCCTACATAACGATTCGTCTCGATCCGTCTTTACGAAATTGAGAGGCAAATTAAGATATACAGGAAGTTGGTAACACAAAACTTTGTCCCGCGTGTTTGTTGTATGTTTACAGAAATATAATTAAAATCTATTACCAAACTTGTTAATCCAACATTGTAATTTAGTATCTCGTCGAATATGAAATTGTATTTTTTTATTATTCCCCTTTCATAAGATTTAAATCAACCTGGCTGTATCTGTTATTAACATCACTCTCTTCTAACAAAAGTATGTAATAAAAAAAAAAAAAAAATACGTTTTCAACAAAGAAGAACCGACTAAGGAGGAGGAGGAAGAAGAAACAAAGAAGCATCGTACGATCACAATAGAAGCGTCTGGATAAAAACAGCATTGAATCCATCCCGACGATGCTTGCAAGCAACCAACAGTCAACGTGACTAACGGTACTCCAACCTGACTAATCACCGAGATTTACCCGCTAAACGTTGCGAAAACAAATTAGAGGAATAAGCAAGAGGAGGAATAAACTGCTCTCTTGACTCTGCCGTCAGTGATAAAACTATCAAAGAAGAAGGACACGTGACGGCGTCGTTAAGGTGGCCGAAGAAAAAGGGCGGCCTTGGCGCGTAGACTTACCACTCTGGCCATAATTCCTCCGGCGCTTTGTACGAGAGAGGAATCGCGTCTGGTTCCGCGAACCTCCGTCGCGAATTCCCTTCTCCGGTGAATCCCCTTCGAACGAGGATTATTTTTGCCGATGGCGGGTGTGTCGTCGCGGTGACACGATGCCATGCCGGTCGAAAGTCAAAACACGGGGTACCACCCTATATCAAACGTTTAATTGGCTGCTACGTCGCCGTACAGGAATGTGTACGCCGGTATAAATTTAATGAGACACGACTGTCCCGTTCCTCCTGTTCTTCGCGTAAAACGCGAGTTAATTTTTAATTTAACGCCGCGCCCGAGCATAATTTGTTCTCACGTACGCCAAAAATCTTCGATCGACGACGACATGCGGCGAAACGTTGTTGTCAACCCGCGAAAAGATAAGTTTACAAATTAGTAAGAATTTGTCAGAGAAAAGGTAAGCTTGAAAAAAAAGTAAATTAGCAATCGTGAGGCATAAGAATTTTTTTTCAAATAGAAGCTTCTTTGGGATCTCTCTTCTTCAAGAAATTATACACGTAGAATCATGACAAGTCATTTGTCATGATTTTAAAAATTGTAAACGAAGAAGGAAGAAGAGTTTCAAACATTTCATGGCTCTCAATTAATTAACAGGTTAAAATTGAGACGATCGTTAGACACAGGGTGACTATATGCAAGAGATAATATCGTCTTTTAGAATTTGTGGGAAGGTTCGGAGGAGAACAAGAGTTTGCACTAATGAATGTTAATGGATTCGAAGCTATTTTGACGGAGTTGGTTTGCTTCCTGCTTCAGAAAGATGAGTAGGCGACAGTCGGCCAGACCATTATTCCGTCTTGTTCTTACACGATTTTAGTTTTCCAATTGCACGGATTTCTGGAAGATGCGTCACATCTGATTAACGACGCCCTCATACTTGGAATACAGTCTTTCTAACGTACCGCGACCTCCCGTCGATCCGCTCTGAATCACCCCTTTCGCTCTCGATATAGACACAAGAGTTGCGTAAGCGAACTAACCCCTTCAGAGAAAGGATCTTTTCTATATCTCGTCGAGCAAATTCTTGCTAGTTATCCTAAAAATATCCGTCGAAATGTCTGTGCGAAAATTAATTTATGAAAAATCTTTACTGGACCGTGGAAATTTTTATTTGTTTGAATGTGACTAAATTCGTCCGTACCAATGAATATTCACAAATACCTTAGAATTCTTAATCTTAAATTACTTGAGTATTTTATATCTGATTGTGAATATTTCTTTAGATAAATGCATGAAAATCTGCAGTCCACCATTGTAGAAATTCTGTAAGAAAAAAAATTGCGAAATTGTGTGAACGTAAATTGAAGAACGTAGTGAAAGAATTTGAGGAAGAAAGACACGAAAAGCCCCTTAGAAAATAATACAGGGATTAATTTGCAGCAAGCTGCAGCGGGTTTCTTTGTCAGCGAGTTCTTTCGAGTCGGGCGTTCTCCACGCGTGGTCCATCCCGGTTCTTTTTTCCCTTGTGCTTGAGTCACACTGTAACATACTCGGGAACGCAGGATTTCGTAAAACGAAGATATAGAATGGCGTGTAACTTAATGTCAGTAACGCCACGTTTCTCCACGTTTCTTCGTGCTCTTCGCGTGCGCTTTTGGTCAGATCTTCGCTCTGTTCGTCTTTATCCGGCAGCAATAATTCTTTCCCCAGAAGAAATTTACGGTCCGTGCTCTTGTCAACGATTTTTATCGGCTATGTGCGCTCCGGTGTCATCTCCCTATTATTTTTTCACTCTTCCTACCCCGGCTTGTCTTTTTGAACTTACAAACGGAGGAAAGTGAGGCGAGATACGAAGAAATACAGTTTGACGATAAATTATTGTCACACGGTTCGCGGACTTGATCACCCTTTCGGTTTAAAGAAGACTTTCGGTAAAATTCTTTGCCACGCAATGACATCGTATTTTGCATCTATATAGTTATATTTATCTAAGTTCTATAACCGATTGCAATTCAGATCTTTGACAATTGAGATAGATATTAGTGTAATTTTACATATCTTTACGAAGATAATTAATTCTTGAACGGTAGATGAATTCATATTATGTTACTAAAATTTGAGAACTTTATTTTATGTTCTTCACTCTTCGTGATAGAGATTAACGATAAAACGAGTAACCTGGTTCTCAATTAAATTTGTGACATTAACTCTAATCAATTGAACAAGTACAATTTGATCCTCCAAAAAAAAAGAAAAAAAAACAGGAAGCAAGGCAAAATATGTGTACATCAATTTATATGAATTACAGCTGTGAATACACGAGCGAAGGAGAACATTTTTTTTATAACAGATGAACGAGACCTCGCAAGACGATCGTTTGTTCTATTAAATATATCTTTTGTAATTTTAAATTCTACGATCATAGGATTCAAATGGATGAAACGGGGATCTCGCGAAACGTCGAATCATTGTATAATCAGAGGAAAAAGAGGAAGTGTCTGGGACAAAAGCAGAATCACGGGGTGGCATTCGTAGGATCGTGTTCATCGTCGACCTCGAAGCGTATCCCATTGGCTAGCTGTCGGTGTACGACGAACCGAAGAGTTAGTGTTCGTTCGTCGACGAACAACGACGTCACGGTTCTATTCCTGGCCGCGTGGACGCAGCGATATCTTTAGAGCAACCATCAGTACAGTCCGTTTCCGAGCTTTCCTTCCTACGGGACGAAACGTTCTGCCAAAAGATAAACGAAGACGGCGGAATGAAGACGATTCGTTTCGATTATTCCATCGTTTGGCCGTTCGACAGCCTGTCACGTCGTCGTTTCGCTCAAATCGAAACGAGGGATCACGCTCCGAGAACACGCCGAATCTCGAATCTAAATTAACGTGGACGTTCTTCCCTTTCTTTTCTTTTCCAAGTTTCCTAGGATTCCAAATTGGATGTTTCTTCGAAATTCGTCGAAACTGAAGAGATGTGAAAATTATCAGTTCTTCGAATTTACAGACGAAGAAGAGAGAGACCACGATCAAAGGAGAGTTTTAGGTAGCCCGATGGGGAAAGTCGTATGTCACTGTCTGGACGGAATGAGTCCCAGTGATTTGAATGGAATCCATTCGCGTTTGTCTGTCTCCAGGACGGAGAAGACGGCGCGGATTCCGGAAGCAGAGTGGCCGAACTTACGGATTGATGTATCCCTAAATAAAGCGAGCACGACTCGTCCGGTTGTGCTGTCGATTGCAGTCGGTAGCCTGTGTCTAGAGTCTACATTGAACTATCTGTTGGTCTTGGAGCCGGGCCAATCGCCGTGGAAAAAGTAGGGGGTGAGAATAAGATTGATGCTATGCAGCCAATGTCTCTAATGTGCAAAATAATCGCCGGCCGAAGGAATTTTCGCGAAAAAGAAGAACACTAACTCGAGAAGAATACCAACTCAGGAAGAATACTACCTCGATAACTGAAACGATACGAAGAGAGAGGAAACACAACGAGAAGAAGTGATCTTCTTTTTCGATGTGATTCACTACGTCAGACTGAAATATTGACCTGGAACATGGATAACTTCTATTGAAAGTGGCACTAGGCCAAAGATAATAATCTTAAACGGACGGTGCCATCTTGTGTGGCATCTTTGTTCGCGATTGCACGTAAACGAGCGAACAGTATCGCGGTCTACGACTATTTATTGGACAAAGTTTATTTGCACAGCGGACGTTGCAACTTAAAATCATACGCGTCGACACTGTTCCCCAGACGGGGAGTTGCACGACCGCTGCGGCCCCGTTTGTTTGAACTGGCAAAATTATTGAACTTTCAGGTCACTAACTGTTACCGACGGCCGAGAACGATAAAAACGTCTGAATGTCGCCGATAATTCCCCCTGACTGTCAGAACTTCGCAGCTTAACCAGTCAAATTCTGCCAAGTTCCTCCACAGATTGACATCCATCGATTGACATCCATCAATAAATAAGATGGAACTATTATTCAACGAATGATACACAGAGATATAAATGAAGGAGTAATATTCAACCATTCAATATTTCGATAATCTCTGAAAAAGATATGTTCAAGATATGAGTCAGTCAGAAACATCGGGATTGAACCAATATGTATGTAAGTAACTGAATATTATCACGATGGAACGGAATTCTTCTTGAACTCTGTAATTATTTCGTATCAACTAACTATCCACAATCTTTCTAATTGTTACCCATAAATTTCAGCAAATTTGACCTTAAGAAATTCAAAGTAGAAAATAACAACGACGTTTTCTATGGAGCGGCCTGACTACAAAAAATTTCGACGCGAAATTTAATTATAATACACGTGACTCATGAAGTATTCACCGGAATCCCGTTAGATCGAGATGAGAAATGGGAGATATAAAAAGTCTACAATATCATCGATTCAGAAATAAAATCGCCGTTTAAAAATAAGAAGAGAATATGGATCAATATCTTACGACGTACAAGAAAGATTATTCATGGCCTACGACGAGGTACAAACATCGGATAGCTTTGCTCAAAGAATATGATTCTTGTAAATGCCATGATCGTCCATCGGAGGTGAAGCCCCTTGTACGATGCGGTGACGATTACGATTGGAGTCGCACGGGTCCGATGGGAAGACTTCTGGACCCGAAACTTCATCCTGCAAAAACTGGACCGCATCCAGAAACTGAAGCCACGAGATTCGATCAACCGGCCACGTACATGAGAAAGGTAAGCCAATACAAAATAAAACACTTTGCGATCATACTACGTTGAGACACTTGTTTCAGTTGGAAGAGAAGTACCCTAATTTGTATGGAATTCTACAGAGTATTCCTATCGACGAGGTGATTAAACGCGACGAAGATCGACTCAAGACAACGTATCAGTTGGATTACTCTGAGAAAGGTGAATTTTATCACGGTTAGCCGATTGTCGATGGTCGAGCGGAAGATTTAGAAAATTTAGAAAAAGTAGTAATGAATGAAATTAACGTGACATTTATTTGCGAAATAGCCTGTAATTTGAGACATGTCTATATCTTCCAAATTTTTTTCTATTTACTTGCCAATACACTATTTGTTGATATAAAACTTTTGGAGAATTTGCATAAAATCGCAAAGAAAATTTTGTTATCTATCATCGCTCGAAGATCTTAAGATAACAGTCGCTTTTGACAAATCCATGATGTTATTATATATATATATAATAACAATATATATGTATAAACAAATTTTCTGAAGAATTTATTCGATATTACAGCAACCGCACTAATGGATAAACCATTTACGGAACCTTGCGTTACCAAACAAGAAGAAGTAAAAGACATAGATTGTCGACCCTCTGCCAAAGTTAAACTATTGAAAATAACCAGTCAAGTTGATAAAGACAGAACAGATAAGAAGAAAGTGAGTAAAGCCGAAGACGAATCGCAGGAAACGCGACTTCTTCCATGGCGATCGGAATATCAAGATACTGTCAACAAATTAGGTCACTCCATTATGAAATATAAGATTCATCATTCATCGAGCACAATTACGCGCCCGCTATTTTGTAAAAATTAATTGTGTTCAATAAACAATACCCAATCTAAATACGTGCTTTACGATATAATCTCTTTATAAATATTTTTGAAAAAAAAAATTAATTTCTATCATTTCATTGCTGTTGCTGAAATATAAATAATAAAGGCAATGAAATAAATGCTCGAATATTCAAAGATATTCAGAAACGTCGAAAACCTTGAAGTTGCTCGAGAAACTCAGTCAGCCTGCATGCAGCATGGAAGACAGACAATTTACGTAGAACTGGAAAACAATACGCTGCATCAAATTCTGTGTGATAATGCATAAAAACGCTATGCATCTATCGACAACGTGTTTCGCAGCAGAATAAATTGAAATGACAACTTCCCCTTCGGATTTTATTCGTGACAAAGTGTTCGACGAATAATCTCCCTTAACCTAGACCAGCTTTAACAGACGAATTTTATTTGAGATTAATTTTATCGCAAATTTACGTGATATCGCGTGACTCAATTGAAAGTGGCCTTAGAGAAGAATGAACAATCGTCGGGAAGCATCGTCGCACACAAGAGGAATGCGCTCCAATTCGCCACGACGTTGTACCTCGAATGCTTATCAACAGGACTACGCCAGCGAGCACAATATCCAATATCCAGAAGAAAGGTCTTCCGTGGAAAGTGTCGTCGAGACTGAGGAACCTGGCATTAATAAGAATAACGTATGATTAAACGGTGTTTATTTTAGTATCGTTACGTATGTATAAGCCAGAGATTGTGACACGGGAGTGAATTGTAAGTGCCAAAAATGAATTTTTTGGAATTGCATAGGCAAGTGGTTTTCCCTTCTGTATTTATTTATGCTACTAAATAAAAACAGGATACGAAATTGAACTTTTGTACGATTTCAGTGCTCTTGTCCTACTCTGGTGTTTTCAAATGTTTCACTTGGTCGATTGATAAGTTGAAAGAGATCGCGATTAATTTAAAACTTTGGCCGAAAGTTTTCGTCAATTTCATTAATCGATTGTTTCTTGCACAGATACATAATTACCCAGACGAATCGGTTTACGTCAAAGCCCTGCCAAAGCATAACCATGCCGCTGTTCGCGAGAGATACCAACGATTCAATAATTACTCGGAGTTCAGCATGCCAGAGGTAACCGCGATGCAAAAGTTACAAAGGCTAAAGGAGCTACAGATGAAGCGGGACATTAGCGAAAGATACTACTCCCAAGAAATCAAACGACTGATCGGGGAATATTATTTCGGGCCGAAAATTGCCTCGCCATCCTTGAAACAGACCGGGAAATTGCAGAGTTCCAGTTTTCATCCATCCTCGGCAGATCGAGTGAAAAATGTATCATCGAGAGAACAAACTACTATTTATACATAAGATATTGAATTTTTATAAACGTTACATTGTTGCTTGGTAAGATAACCTGTTATCCAAGTCGTTCCTTATGAAATTACAAATTAGTAAAGACACTTTAGCAAATACGTGACATAATTTAATTTTCACAGAGATACAAGATAGACAATCTCTAAAGAAATAATTATAGGTTAACAGGTTATTAATGAAATGAAACATCCACTGTAGTTAACAAATGGATATATTACGACTATATTGTAATTGTCTAATTTTCAGAATTTGGAACCATGCGGCACAATGACGACAATTACACGGCTGGATTGTGGATGTATTCAAGAGACAACAAGGCCAATTTTTACGACGGCAAGGGGTCGCGTTCTTAGAAGGAATTGCAGGAATCTATCTCAGGACGAGAAGCTTTTGAAACTGACTTCGTTGAACCCCCAGGAACACTTATTTTCATCGTTAGAGCAACCTAAGGATAGGTATCACACAAAAGTGAAGAAACGGCTCTCCATGGATCCGCGAACGTATTCGAAAATCTGTTCTGCCGGTGATCAGGAGTTTGAAACGGAGAACGAGAAGAAAAACGAAGAGCCAGAAACGGAAGTTACTGAGCATGATTCGAGAACACTGTCCCCTCAACGAAAATTTAGCGACACCTCTGCGAATTCTTATTAAAATTTATTTTTTATTTATTGTATTTTGTGCATTAATTAATAATAACGTATCGTCCTGATAGCTGCTTTTATTATCAGTGAAAATTTCCATATTAGTATCGTTTCGATAATCGTGAAATTATTGACAATTGTGAACTCTCTCTCTCTCTCTCTCTCTTTCTCTCTTTAAACTGAATCTTTTGTATCAAATATCAGATTAGTGAATCGCGAATCAATTTCGCGATAAATCATCGACAAATTGCACAAAATTTATTATGAACATTGGAAACGATTAAAATCGGAGAAATAATTTTCTAAATTGCAAGATGAACGATCTAAGACTAACAACCGATTCCGTGATCGCGCATGTTGGTATCACGTTTCTAAATGCCATATTACATTACGCGCTTTACAGAGCTGTCATTGCCACGATCATACTGATCAAAGAAACGATACTTTGGTTGTTCCGGAAGGTGATGAAATTTCGTAGTACTAGCACCGACGAATCGACCCAGTCCCCATTGCCATGTAACGTTTAGTCGCTGTTTCTTCGCGGAGAAATTCCTGGTAAGAAAAATACACACAAAGAAATCCATTGCCTTCCACAAAAATGAAAATTAGCAAAGTATAACGTAATTGGAAATCTTTTGTAATAGGTTTGCTGAATTATGAATGTTTCTTCACAAAAGAATATTAACCTCGGCAAATTGTTAAACTTAAACTTAAAAATTAAAATTATTTCACTTTTTTAAATTTTTGGCGAACTTCATTTTACGTAATGAAGAAACATTAAGTTGATATATTTAAACAAATGCCCATTCGACAGAGACCCATGTAAATTCTGGTTGTTTGTTCCAACTTGCGAGTAAATTACTGGTACACATGATGAACGCGTTGGAAAATTTCGTCACGATCACTCATCGTGATTTTAATTGGCCATACCCTGTACCGCTGATTGCAAAACCGGGACAACCACCGAGACACACGGGAACTCGATTGTACACCCCTAGAATCGACCCTGAGGACTGTCCGTGTGACGAACATGGCCAACAAAGTAATAAAAATAGGTAAAAATAAATAATTTTTAAAACAAATTTGTATAATGAATAATACTACAATTCTTGATCAAATAAGAAACCTAATTTACATTACAACTCTCGGTATTGATATTCCCCGGAAAAAGAATTCTTTAAAAAATCCATACAGGTACAAATATTTGGCTGATAAGGAACGACACTTTCTGGATCAACTGACGAAAGTGAATCGTGAAATGACAAATCTTACGAAGGTTATGCTAGACGCTAAATGCGAGCCAATCGACGAGACGATGAAGAGTATTTATAAAGCGGATTACGCGAAGAGAGGTATGGAATGGCGTTGAACAAAAGATAAATTTGTCTAAATAATTCGTTCGAATGAATTCAGGATTGCCTATCAAAGAGTACAGACAGCTACAAGCTGCGGTTGACTCGCTGTACTGTTCACCTTTTCCGGCGGAAGTTACGGAAATAAAGGAGGGATACAGAGATCCAACGAGATTTCGATACACAGCCATCGAGAGACCGTATATTCAGCCAGCCAAAACGATCAATTTGTTCCAAGGTATGGAATGTTCCCGTTTATTTTAAATCTCCAAACATTGTAGAAAATGCGAACATCATTAATACGAAAAATATACTCTAACTCTATGTTTCCGTGAAGGGAACGATTATCCTTTTAGTCGCCTTTTACGACAGGCAGGATTTACCCAGGGCCTATTCTTATACCCCCGTGCCCTGAGGGGGTAAAACATTATAATTTAACCTAAATATTTAATTCTTAAATATTATTAGTATCTAAAGATAATGTATGTATTGTCGATATAATAAAAGCGGAAAGTTTTTATAAAAGAGAAAGTTCTGCGGAATATTTTTAGATTCTTGCCTTACAAGTGGCAAAAAGTGAGAACTTAATATTGCAAAAACACATTTATAGTTCCAGAATCTTTCTCTATGTGGGAAACACCTTTTACCGGCCGTTCAGAGTATATGGACACTATTAGTAAAATGGGTCTAAGTAACATGAAAAATCGTCAACAATATCTGGAACCGTTACCCTCGTCGAGAAGAAGATTTGGGGACTGTAAATTATAAATTCGATTCATCAAAAATTCCTTTCATTGACCAAACTATTGATTTCTAAAATAAAATTATGATTCATATTCAATTGTAATAAAACTAATTATATACATTCTCTGTATTTTTAATTTGTTGAACTTACCAAAGAAAATATGAATGATACGACTAGACTAATATGAATAGAACTTCCAAAAAAATGCGCCACAAAAAAACATATGATTACTACTATTTATCGATTACTATAACCAATTGAGTTTAAAACATCAAAATTATAATCTAATTTTTTATGTCTTGTGTGGTTTTTTAATTCTACCAATGACGAATTTCTGTGAATTTTTTCCTACAGAATATACGCGCAATTATAGAAAGAAAAAGATACAACCAGCTGTGATGTAAAAAAAAACAAATATTGTCGAAGAAATAAGTCGTAGAATTTGATCGAAGAACGCAAATTATATGTTTATATGTTTTTTAGAGTCTATCACAAAGATTATTTCACGGATCGTATAGAAGAAGGAGAAATAGATCCTCGTATAGCATCGATCCCTACACAATTAGATGAAACTGCTGAACAATTGGTTCGTAAACATATTTTCAATAGACTACGAACTGTTTATCAAGTCAGCTTTGTACATCGTTGTAAGCAATAATATATGAAAAATCAAACAAGTAGGATACTTCGTTTGTTTAAAAACTCACATGTGACGAAATATAGGGATTCCGCGCGATGGAAAGCAAGTTGAAGAGATCAAAGAAAAGGATCATCTGCAAAGTGAATTAATAACATACATTCGTGATTTATATTTCAATCCTCATGGTGAAAAAGTTCTTGCACCTCTAGTTACGGCAAAAAGAAGTAAGTACAAAAATTTTAAAATATAATTTCAACTTTGATTGAGTGCATTTAAAACGTATTTAAATATATTTAAATGTATCTAGTGCTTGGCTACATTAGACCAAAACTATTACACGGAAATATTTCAATGTACGAAGATACTTTCGGTCGTACAGGTGCAACAATAATTATAAAAGAAAATGAAAAAAAATATGCAACGTCTAAAAAGACAGAAATATCAAAAGCTAATAACAAACTGGATTTTTGTAAAGACTTAGATCATGAAAAATAAATAATTTAATTTTTCTATCTCAATAAAAATAAGCTTCTTTTTATAAGTAACACACTTACTTGGAAGTAAGTTTGTATCGCACAAGCATGTATTTATCGTTTAGTAATTAAAATGCATGAAGTCATCGTTTATGCAATGTTACATAGGTATATGTACATAGGTATAGTGCAAAAACTTACAAACGTAAAAAGTAATTCTTGTAGCTTAAGTTCTCTTCATTTATTGAATATTCCAACTGAAACATATCGATAAAGTAAACATAAATTAAATTCTACAAACATATAAACAATACTATCTACAACTATTTTTAAATGAAGCGATTGTAAACTCTTTACTGAAATACTGCAATAAAATTGGAAAAGCTAACTTCCACATAACCTTGATAGATGGCGCATCGATATATCAAAGAGTTACATGACTATTTTAAATTCGGTCAATAGATTTCAACAATTTTTAAATATATATATTATATTCACAAATCTTTAAAATATATTACTTACTTTGCAAGAAAAAAAAATTTAATAAAATAATCTCAAAATTTCAGTACTCCAGTAATTTTGTGAAAATATCACTGTTAATTATTAATAATAATTTATTTTGTACGATATAAACTATCAAAACAACTTTTATGCATTTCAGATAGCTTTAGGTTATAAATATTTAATTATCTGCTGTGTACGATGAATGTATGACTCCATTCCTTACTGTACTCACACAGGCAAACTAACTCTCCTTATGATAGGATATAAGCAACTTGTACACTACGTAAGAAATACAAAAATTTAAAAAATGATACGAGATGTTATAGTACGTTTAATAATAAGTGTCATTGGCATAATTTTTGCTATATCTGCACTTATTGTATTGTCTGTTATATATAAGAACTACAATGTTGGATTTTGGTCGATCTTATCAGGTTAGTATTGCTCATCCAATGATCTATATAATGATTATCTGATAATGTTTTACAACCGTAAATATACTTACTTTAAAATTAATCGCTAAATCCATAGTATGAAAAATCAATATTTTATAGCAGTAATATATAATATTGCTCACTTATTTTTTATAAAATAAAAATTACCTGTTTTTTACTATACACCGTTTCTTTCGATTTATTGTTTAACTATGGAACTCTCTCTTCATTCTTAATAATTATAATACGAAATATTTTTTGTACTAGTTGCAAAAATATTATTTTTACCTATTCTAAACATATAATGTAATAAATACTATTACTTTAGAAATTTCATATTGTTAATATCAAATGTAAATTATTAAAATTAATTAAAAAAATATTTCTATTTAATAAATTTAATGTATACAAATTGTTGTTTCATGTATAATATAGGTGTGTTAGCTGCAATTTGTTTTCATCTACACTGGGTCAAAGGAAAAGGAAGTTTAGAAAGATGGCATACCACAACTACATTGAGAAATATAAATGTTATTGGTTTTATAAGTGCTGTATCAGGAATCACTGCATTAATTTGGTATCTCTTCCTTACATTTTATTACAAGATTCGTATGTATATTATTTAATCTTTAATTAAAAATCTTATTAAAAAATATAGCGAAGTAAAGATATGACGAAGTATAAATTTATATTTTCAATATTGCAGCCATTGAACCTATTGCTGAAAGTACAGCAATAACAGCTGTTTGGTCTATGATCTGTGGAAAATGGGGTATTTCCTTGATGTATTATTCTCATACATATGGTTTAATTATCGCAGAAGGCTCTGTACCCATATTAGTAGAAAATAATGCTTAAGAATTTTTCATAAACAAATATAACAAATTTTTATAGAGTAATTTTATTAAATATAATGGTTAAAAAATGTATTAACAAAATAAATATATTTTCATAACATAACATGTAAATATTATATAAATATATTTGTTGAAACATAGTTCTACTTTCTTTTATAAAACAATATAAGACTTCCAGTTTTATAGTACTTTATACTATTTTTCTGAAAATCTTAAATATTTGTTTAAAAATTTACAAAAAATAGATCATGAAATTCTTATTTAACCATCACAGTAGGGTAATAATTTTTCAAAATACATAGCAATAGCAAATACATTCAAAAAATATATAAAAATTATAAAAACCCATAAAAACCAATACAAAAATACAATTTGATTTTAGTACTATATTCCCTTTAATTTAAATTAATGCTTTGTAATAATAATCATCATGTACATAAAAAAACAATATATTATATAAATTAGTTTTAAGCTGGTGTTATTTTATACAGAGGATAAATTAATGTGTAAAGACTTACAATTGAAGACACCATACCAAGTACACCAATTGTTCCAGGTGTAAATTTAGTAAAACCTAATGCTGTCAAAGGAATCCACAAATCACATCCATTTTTTATTGTATCCATTACAATATCTCCATGACTTTTTAAATAACGTAATAATTTATATTGTTTCCATAAATAAGGTGAGAATTTTGGTGTCCTCATTAATACATCCTTCCCTTCGTGTTCAAGAATTTTCATGATTTCATAAATGTCTCTTATAAGATTCATAATAATACTCATTAACCAATATTTATTAGATATTTTACTCCATTTTTCAATATTAACTTTACATAGTCCCACACGACCAATCCAAATTATATGATCTGCTAATAAAAATAGAGCATTGGCAATTTTTGATAATGTTAAACTAACTCTTATGGTTACATCTGGATATTTCATCATTTTCAAAGCAAAATATAAACTATCTAAACATCTTCCAAGACGCAACACTACAAAATAAAAATAAAATATTAGTAACAAATAATAGTTACGATAAAATTATAAATATCAATTCAAATGAAATACATTTTCTGAATGAGCTAAATGTATATTCTAAACTTCTCAAGACTTCTGCAGAATGTTGTGTACTACGAATATTCTGTCCATAATACCAATAAGCTCTGCTTCCGTATTGTAGCAATCTATAAAAATATTATTAAAAAATAATTATATAATATTAATATTACCTTACATATTGACATATTACTACATTTTATTTTAATCAAATTAACATATTCCTCTATATAGGAAATTAATTAATTTATATATATATATATATATATACACATATATTTTCATAAAATTTTTATTATAAAGCATTTTTCGATATATTATAGTGAGAAAAATAATATTTTGAATAGTTAAATCATAATGCTACGTAATAAAATATAGGTTATGTAAAATATAAAACTAAATTTACATTAGTAACTAAAAAAAAAAAAAAAATAGTTCTTTTCAACTAATTTTAATACGTTTAATACGTTTAAAATAAATTACCTAATAATTCTATCTCTGCCTACTGTTTGTTCATTTAACTTTATTACTATATCCATGGTGTTTTCAGGTAATGTGAAAAATAAAATACTTCAAGAAATAATTATATTAAATTGCTATATAAAAATAATTTATAACAGTTTTACCGTAATAACATTTATTTATAAGCACATATAAACAATATAAACTATTAATATTGTCATCAAACAATTTAACCCAAATGAATTAATAAGTTAAGTACGATGTATCAATGATTATTAAGAAATTTGTTATTATTTCTTATATCAGTCATAACATTTATCGCAATACAAGCATACATAATAAATTATTCAAATGTAAATATGTATGTACTTATTTAATACCACCAGCGCCATCAAGTTTGATTCAACAAACCCGCCATTTTCAAACATTTAAAATTTGATGATGAGAGCTTTAGAATTAACTCTAATATTGAATCCAAAAATATTTAAGCCCGGAATATTTAAGCAACTATTTCTTTCGTGAAAAATGAAATAGTTTTATTATTATAATGAATGAAAAATAATGTGTAAGTATATTTATAGTATAAAAGTGCATATAAGATAAACTGCAATATTATATATCACATAAAATGAAAAAAATGAAAGCATAATTTATATTACAATTATCAAGTACTTTTAAAAATCTAAAAAGCTAGTTTTCCCTAATTATGAATTAATAAGTTATGGATTAATTTATTGTAGTTGAAGTCTCACAGAGAATAGAAAAGAGAACACATACAAAATGACAATTATGATTGTTTTTCATGAAATAAAAAATCGCGCACGTATGTTATACTAACTGACATTGCACGACCTTTATGTCTGAATCCTGGTGTAAGTAAAAGAGCATTCACTGTAACATTTCATTAAAATAAAATTTATATTAACATCCATTCATCTTATAAAATGCAATATTAAATGAATGAATAGAAAAATTATTACCTGCGATATAAAACAGAAGCAAGTTATTGACTGTGCTTCCAATCCATATACAAAGAACAAGACAAAGTATTATCCCTAGATAATACTGCAACAAATGAACAAATAAGTTTGTAAATGCTATATCTAATATATCCAATGTAATTTATATATCCAATATAATTTTTCTCAACTAAGAATCTTTTTATCTTCTTAACTCACCACATTAGGACGATCATTTCGTATTTTTAACATTAATTTCCACAAATTTTGTAACTGTAAAATTATTACAGATAAATTTTGACATATCTCATTTAATTTTTTCTCTTTTTGTCCTGTCCATTTATTAACAGGACTTAGCCAAGATGATACAGGTGGCACAAGATAATCGATCAAAGCTAATACAAGAAGAGTTACGGACAGTATTGTAAGTATAGCAGGTTCCAATATCCATATCAGACTGCAAACAAACACATTTTTTAAATATTGTGAAATTATTTATCAATCATAATTGATAAATATGTGACATAATCAGATATGTTTGTAAAAATAATCCATAACTAACATAATACTGTACATTAATAAATTTTACTTTAAAATCAATGTTAATAACATTATTAAAAATTCCCAAAAAGAAATAAATTCTGAAAGCTATAAATAAACTATAGATATGAACAAAACGTATTTCTTCCATAGTATTAAGAAAATAATACATGAAGCAAATAACTTACTTAACTTGTTAGTAGAAAATATATATTATTATATATTTTAATAATATTTCTACTCACAAAAAAATTATGGTTGTAATTCCAAGTATGAGACCAGGATACCAAGACCGTTCCCATAATAGAATGGAATTCAATGGAAGTATTACTTCACGCCAACATTCCATTCTACGTTTTAATTGTTTCATATGCTTTTCCTGCAATGAGATTATATTGTTTGAGAACAAAAATGAGTGTCACTGTCATTGATTTTTCTACTACAGTGAGACTACATGATTTAATACAAAGATCCAGCATTAATTAAATATTAAATAAAACGCATCAATAACACATCAAATATATATCGTTTAAAAAACATAAAATCTTACCCTTTCTATTGCTGTGTTATCAGCCATCCTGGTTACTAAATAAAGTATTCAAATTTGCTATGAAGGAAGAATAATACTACGATAAAAACTTGAAACTACGTTGAGGTTGTGGTACAATGCAACTACAATTTATTCACATTATCCAAGTTTATATTCCGTTTCATTCAAACATTTCTTTATTCTTCAATTCTATTACTGCGATGTGTCTCGAGTAAAAGTCAGAGACGCCGGATACTTTTTGCTTGAAAACACAAAATGACGAAGAATCGACTTCTAGTTTCGAGATTATTGTATCTCGCACGCGATTGGCTATCAGTTCAAAATGTTGGTTATTGCAGGCGATACTGTGCTGATGTTGTGACGTTAAAGATTTTCTAACAGTATACTTCAAATAATCGCGTCCTAAACGCGTTTAATTGAAATTTTATTCAAAATTTGCTAAATATGGCTGCTATGAATTCTGTAAGTACTCGATGATACGTATTAATTTCTGTGTGAGAATTTTAACAGCGGTACTTCTTGTTTATGTTCTGGTTAAGAAGACAAGCTCTCTCGATATAACTTCATTCTCGAATAAATAAGTCATCTATCATCAATTATTCATTTTAGATATCAAATGTCGAAAACCTATCTCCACAAATTATTCGACGTGTAGCTAAGGAAATGAGTGAATTAGCTGCACAACCACCCGAAGGTATCCGAATTATTTTAAATGAAGAAGATGTTACTGACATTCAAGCTATCATAGAAGGCCCCTGTAAGATTAAACCTCATTTAATTACTTTTCTTGTAAAATTTCAATAGAATATTATGTACTATTTAAAAAATTGCACAGTTATTGAAATATAACCTATCCAAATGTCAGATTTACAATGCATATGTAAATATATCTATATATGTGTATACATGTATATATCTATATACCTATATATGTATATAGATATAAGTTTATTTCTATCAATTATAAAAAAGTTTATCTATATAAAAAATCTGGATATAAATATAAGATTAGACACATTTAAAATAGATGAATATATACTTACAAAATCTGCTTATTCTACAACAGTATTATTGACATTTATATTTATTTACATATAGTCTATTGTCATTAAAAATTTCTAACATTATTCGTTTCATTAAACTCCATGAAGTTTTGTCTACATGTTATAATATTTATGAGTTAAAAGTATAAATATTTTTAACACTAGCGGGAACACCATATGCTGGTGGTTTCTTCAGAGTAAAATTAGCTCTTGGCAAAGACTTTCCTCAAGGACCACCAAAAGCATTTTTCCTTACAAAAATTTTTCATCCAAATGTTGCAAAAAATGGAGAGATTTGTGTCAATACCTTAAAAAAAGATTGGAAATCAGATCTCGGAATTAAACATATATTACTAGTAAGCATATATTACTAATTATAAATAAATATAACTTTTTCTTAATTAGTACAATTGACAACATACCTAACCATTTTATATTTATAGACTGTAAAATGTCTCTTAATAGTGCCAAATGCAGAATCTGCTTTGAATGAAGAAGCTGGTAAATTACTTTTAGAAAGGTATGATGATTATTCTGAACGAGCAAAAATGATGACAGAAATACATGCACAGGTATTATTAGTATATACACTAAATTTAAATTTCATATATAATAATAAATAATGAGAAATGCATTTTTGATTTAGGGAGGTGGAAAAGGCAGCAAAGCAGGTCTAGAAAGTTGCACATCCTCTGAAGTCGGAGGACCTCTCCCAAAGAAGCATGCAGGAGATAAAAAACTATCGGCAGAAAAGAAAAAAATATTAAAAGACAAGAAGAGGACACTTAAAAGATTATAAAAAAATCAACATAATTTATCTATCTTTTATAATTTAAAACACTGGTGTGGTAACGTTGCCTCATATTGTACACAATTATTGCATAGTAAAAATTTATTATCTAAACTCGACTGATCTTATTATTAAGTATTTAGAAAATTAATAATTCTAGAAGCATTAAAAATGACTTCCTAAGATACAAACAAGTACAACTTTGTAGTAATCTACTTTACAATCAAGAGTGGAAAATATAGCCCACTCTATGGTATCTATTAGTGAATATTTTTACATATGTACAAAATGATACCTCGTGTGATTATTTAAATTAAATAAAAAATGTTCTTCAAATAAAAATTTGTTTCTACTTTAATATTTATAATAATTAATTTTATATACTTTTTAAAATAATACTTATCTTTGAGTTAAAACAATTAAATATAAATTTTTAATTAGACGGGAAATAAAAATGGTTTCATTTTCAAGAACATTGTTCTTTATTAGATAATGATTCGTCAGTTTCTTTGCTTCAGCCTTGTACCTGCATTGTCATTCATATGCTGCACGAATAAAACCATGTACATTGTCTTACAAGCCCAAATACTGCACAGTAAAATATTTCATTAGTAGATGACTAGAAGATAACAGTATGTCACAGCCTTATTCCACTAGAAGCTATTAGCTACACATAGTGGTAGTTTTATTATTCGTGGTAAAAAAACAATTGATTGAACATAATTTACAAAGATCTGATACTACTACTAAACAGCGTTACACATGTGTAGTATCAGTATATAAATTATGTTAGAAGATAGATTCTTAAATATTTCAATATTTAATTATTCATAAAAATTAATTAGATTAAGGGCTAGAAGTACTTCTGTACTTTGATAAACAACAACTTTTAAAGATGAATTTTACTGTATTTTTTATCTGATAACCACACACGCACGATAGTACATACAAATCCATACAGTCTTTACATCATAACTTTTTTTTATTATTTCTTTTTTTGTTTTTCTTGCCATAAAAAAATCTATCAACAAATAATTTTTCTTAAGTGTCAGTAAAAATTTTAAGCCAATTTCGAAGAAACCGTCAAAAATAAAAAAAATACCCATTTAAAAGGAATTTCATATAACATTTGCTAATGATACAATTATACTTATTTTTATATATTTTCATGAAAATTAGGGAAACACATCGTATTGTGTTAAGTCAGATCAAAACAAAATTTTAAAAGTGTGAAGGTTTGTGACATTGTTACTTTACTTCTTTCACATAAGCTTCCAATTCTGCATCTAATTCTTCAGCGGTAGGAGTTTTTGTCGCTTGTCGGCTGCCTCCTCTGCCACCACGCCGACCGGTTCCACGACCTTTAAGAAAAAATTAACCTTAATATATTTTTTTATAATTTCATCACTTTTTCATTAGTATGAAACAATTATATACCTCTGACGGATCCTGTTCCACGGCTACCCCTAAAGCGGGACTGAGGTCTCTGTGTATAATTACTGCTGCTAAGTCTCGGGCCTCCACGGATAGATGTGACTGGTATTTCAGAGGTAGCAACTTGTATGTTCATTTCACGACCTGCCGATGTATACCACATATTGCAATAATAGATGTGAATAGTTGTGCAAATCATAATTCACAATAACTTCTTTGAAATTTGTTTTTCTTTAATGTCATCCCATGTTGGAGTATTTATGGAAGGATAAAAGAGAAAATGCTCAAACTGTATGTTGCTAGGTATAAACTGGAGACCAGATTAATAAGTGATACTGAAACCCTAAATATAGGTGGAATTTATAATTAAAAAGAGACATTCAAAGCAAAACTTATAGTCCAAACATAAATTTAACTACACACCATCTAATGGTACGCCATTATATTGTTTCATTGCTTTAATAGCATCTGCTCTTCTTTCAAATATAACATCTGCAGAGCCCAATGATCGACCTGACCTATCGTAATGTACTGCTGCTGACTTTAAGGGGCCAAATTCACTAAATAATTCCTAAGAACACACAAATATTTACATTATTGTAAATTTATGTTAATTTTTCAAAAATAAAAAAACTGTTGTAAAAAAAATTGTTTTTTGTGAATTTGATATTGAAAATTAATTAATTTTTTTCATTTCAAATGTTAGAACTGTAATATTACATAGTAAAAAATACCTGAATATCTGAATCTGATACTCCAAAGTCAAGATTTGATACGAGAAGTTTGGTTGTTCCTGCACTACCTATTGCACTTCGGCCAACCTTTTTTACTCCATCAAACATGTCGTGTTTCCAAGCACTGTTTACATCGCCCTATAAATACATTTATTATTATATAAAATTTGTAATATTTAACACTTCCTTAAATCTAATATAAATCATATATGTATTTGTACAAAATAAAAGAAAATTAAATTGAAATTAAGTGAAAAAATTTTTTTTGCTTCTTCACATTGGGTTAGGTTTCATTCAAGTGTATGAATGTATGAAAAAAAATATACGTTATCGGTCTGAAACTCAACGAGTAATATTCATAATAATCATCCACATAATTTTTAAAGAATTTTAAACTGAATACTTTCTTCAGGTAGATAAAATGTTTCTTATTTGAACTGTATAAGAATTATACGAATTACATTTCTATTCTACACAACTACTTTAGTTTGAAATACAATGGTTAATCCACCCCTAGATTAAACTGTTTCGTACATAAGCATTTAAGGCGGAAGTAATATGATAGGTTCTCGTATACGATACACGTGACAAAGTTAACACATCGTAAATAATAAAAATAATAGCAATAAATAGGTTTGATTTCTTACCCTTGTGTATGGAAGAGAATTTCTTGTAATACCACCACGATTGCGTCCCCGCATGACGCCACCACCAACTCTTTGCGTTCTGCGTGCTCCTCTACGAGGTGTGTTACCGGCACCTCTTCCACGTCTGCCACTGCCGCCGCGAGGTCTAGTCCCTTTGTTTTGCTTGATAATATCATCGAGACTCATGTCTATTTTATCTACCATCTTCATTTGTGCTGACTTTCGAATAATGACACCGCTACGCAAAAATGAGTAAAACCAACCTCTTTCGTCCTCGTAATGATGGCGACGAACGAAGGCGAAACAAGCGCGCACAGAAACCTGGGTATAAAGACCGTAAACCATACAATAACTTCTTAGAAGTACCAATTCAACGCTATGTTATTCGTCGATCATAGCGCTCTCTACCCATACATCGATGAAACCAAATAACGGTTGATCTTTTAAATCTTCAATTATGATTTTATTCCATTATCTATGTTTTTAACTTTAATTTATTTTAATAGAATTGTATATAGATATATATTTTTTTATACTATTCTCCATTAGATAAAAATGTATTTCTTTCTAAAAATGAATTCATACTTTACAATTTATATTTTTTTATTCTCTTTTTGCTTTAAACAGGTTACATTATAAATAGTATATTTAATTTTTAATCTTTTGAATATCAAAAATATATATAGATACAAATGTATCTTATTTTTCCTTTTATTATAATTCATCGTGTTCCTCATTTATATCACTTTCATTAATTTCTTCATTATCATCATTAAAATCTGTGGAACTGCATAGCTTTGAAATATTCATGCATAATTTTTCTTTAATATTATTTTCTTTATGAGCAAACAATGAAATCATAGAGTCTTCAAATTCTTCCACTATTCCTTCACACTGAAATAAAATGCAATAAAATAATAATTTATAAAAAATATTAATTAAAATATTAATTAAAATTATTAAAACTTAAATAAAACAAAACTACTTACATAATATTTTAAGCTTTTATTCAGATCATTATCCTGAATAATATCAACTTTGCTCATTTCAGGATTCATACCACCAGATGAACTGAGTAAATTTAAGATTGTTAATTGACCATTTGATTTATATGTTGCTCTTACATAGTCTGACATCTTTTCACAAATATTATCTAGGATGTCAGATATGTGCACCTCAGATTGTGCAAGTGGGATCTTTAAATACGTACTTAATTAAAAATATGTTGTAATTATAATACAAAAAATATAAAAATTCACTATTACCTTTTTATGAATAACATTTCCTTGTGCATCTAATCTATAATTTCCTATCTCAATTTGTCTTGAAGGATCAATTTTTGCCAATTCTTCTTCAATTTCTTTTATTGTTGATCTACAAACTACATATTGTTAATATTAATTTATTATAATCGTTTTTCATATTCAAGACAAATAATCACAACTTATTACTTAATACTCATTTTACTTACCTAAACATTTTAAAAGCTTATTATCAATTTCCGCAGCTTTTACAAAACAATATGTAAATAACAGAGAAAATATCACTATTAGAATTTTCATCTATAATAAAAATAAGTATTAATAAATAATTTACAAAGAAAAGGAATTATAAACATTTAGTTTATACCTACATTGTATTTATACTCAATTTAATAATATTCAATTTATTTTTTAGTGATGAAGGAAACACGTGTATATTACTTGTAAACATATACATATGTATATATTTAATTCACATATATTCCACATCCACACAATATTAAATACTTTAGAAAACACGAATAGGCTATCATCACGTGTAACTTTGAGAAATACCAATATAAAAATATAAAGACACTATTAAGTACAAAAAGATACTATGTTATCATAATTTGAAACTGCAATTATTGCAAAATTATAAAGCATAAATTTTTATGAATGTATAGTACAATTTTTGTATTATTTAATTAAATGTGAACAATATATAGAAATAAGAAAATTTATTTATTTGTTTCTATCATTTTTTAGAACCAGATTTTTTACAAAAGTAAAACTAATTTTAACATTACTTAAATTAAAAAAACGATGATATTTTAATACTATATCGACAGAACAAGGAATGATATCTCTGTTTATAAACTGCAACATTTTATTTTACACTCTAGAAAATTATATATCTACATATATGTGTATATATCTATTCATCATAGCTATGGATCATCCCATTTGTTATTGCGATGTAAACACGTGCCACCCCTTAAAGTGGGAAGTCCATGTTGCTTTTTAAATTGAATAACCATGTTTCAATGTTTTACATAAAATTACGTTTATATTTTGTGAAGGTTTCTACATAAATAGTGGCTATAACTTTACTCTTTTAACATTTATGTTTATCAATATATATAAGTTTTGAAACAAAAGATAAATTAATTATGTGAAAGTATGTATTACAAATTTAATGGAGAACACAATTAACAAAAAGCATAAAAATAAATGAAACCTTAAGTAAAAATTATTTATAGTATATATTTTGTTCAGTGATTTATTGTTAAAACACAATTTTAGCTAATACATATTATGCTGCAAAATATGATTTTTATTGTAAACTTTTTCAAAATTGTCTAGAAAATGACGCTATGATATGGTGTAATTTAGAGAAAGATTAAGACAATATTACTTTTTATATTGTATGTTACAACAATTTATTATTAAATATGACTTAAGTGAAAAAAGATATAATTGTCAAAATGGAAGTGTGGTGGATTTCTCGAGTAATAGCTCATCATCCTTATACCATTCTAATGACAATACTTATTTTTTCTTCAACATGCTTAATTGTTCCCTTAGCTATTAAAAAATTTCCAGATTTCTCTGATCCTCAATTAGTAAGTACAATCAAGACATTAACTCATGTATAATATTTTATTAATTTATATTAAATTCTTTTTATTAAGGGTTTTGAAGCAAGAGGTACAATGTTAGCTCAACGGCTTATTGCTTGGCAAAACTTATTGGAATCAAATAAGCCAAGCGGACAGCTGATTGATAATCCTTTAGAACATTACCATCATATGCAACAGGTATTTTTAATGTGTTTATTTGAATTATATATATAAGTTTTTTAAAATATTGCGTGTAAAATGTAATTCATGAAATTTACAAACTAACATTATAATATTCCAGAATTTAATTGTCAGAAGCAAACCTAAGAATAAGAAAAAAGGGAGGAAGAAATATCAAAAACAAATAATTAATACAAAAGAAGAAATAGATAAAGTTGAAATTAAAGATAAATGGGAGGAATTAATAGAATTAAAAAATAAAAATAAAAGCCAAGATTATGTTGAAAATGAGAATTTCTTTTGTAATTTACCATTACCTGGTTATGCACGTGTGGTTATTGGTACAAATTCTAAAGATGCAAACTTATGGTCAATGGAAGGAATATTAGCACAATGTTATATTGATGGAGAATTGAGATCAAATACACATTTTCCTTCCTTATGTCAAACGCAAATAGAACACAATAATATAGGACAAAAGTGTTGTAAAAGTTGGTCACCAGCGAATTATGTCGCACTTTTGTCTAATCGAAGTTCTTGTTTGGGTGTAACAGAGAATGATCTTAGTCGTGTAGAAACACTTTTGAAAAGATGTGTTTATTATTATCAAAATGGTCATTTGACATCAAATTGTGAAGAAGACTTAAATTGTCAAAAACATGTTCCAAGTGAATGCTACACACACAATGCAGCTTATCATTTGCTGCATTACTTATTAGATATTGATTTTATTTCAAAACATGTAAGAAAATTAATTTCTATAATATTCTTTATATATATTATATTCTTTGTTAATAAAAGTTTTCATACTATTACAGAAGCAAGATTCCCAAAATAAACTAAACTCAACATTGAAATATGCAATGTTGTTTTTGCCAATTGCTACAAGCTCAGCAACTTTAGATTTTTATAAAGGACTGAGTAATACTGATTTATCTTATGGAAAATTTTGTGTGAAAGGAATGCAATTAGGTCTAAAAAGTACATTATTTGATCGACTATTAGTGTCAGATTCTATTTTATTACTTGTTGGTTTTGCCTTTGTAACGATTTGCATATGGGCATATACTGTTTCTTTTCTATTAACTGTCACAACCATTATTGCAGTAATTTTTAGTCTTGGAATTTCATATGCATTTTACACTTTAATTTTACATATCAAGTTTTTTCCATTTATGAACCTTTTGGCAATCGTTGTTGTTGTAGGTAAGAACTGGAAAATGCATGATAATTAAATTTAACAATAAAAGATTTTTAATAATAAAATATACAATTTTATTTAAAGGAATAGGAGCAGATGATGCGTTTATATATTGTAAAATTTGGCAGAGGGGAAAAGAACAAAAAATATCAAATAATGGATTGGTCAAATTGGTACAAGAAACAATGAAACATGCTGTTCCGTCTATGTTTGTTACGTCTCTAACCACCGCAGTAGCATTCTTTGCATCAGTTGTTAGTAATGTTACTGCTATAAATTGTTTTAGGTATGTAAAATAATTGTGTAACAAATATTAAAATATTAAAAGAAAAGAAATTTAAACTTTACTAATCGCATAAATCCAGTCTATTTTCAGGAATAACTGTTATTGCAAATTACTTCTTAATGATTACCTGGCTGCCAGCGTGCGTTGTAGTGTCAGAACGATTCAAATTAGGTTTTTTATCGCCCGCAAATTTTATAACACGAAAAATTATTCGACCTTTGCGACTATTTGGAGATAAAGTAACGATTGGTTTTAATACTATTCTTGCGAGGATAGTTATTAATTTTCGATGGTGCTGGTTATTAAGTTTGGGTATCACAGCAATACTATGTTGCATCATTGTTTTTCACTACCCTGGTTTACAATTACCAGATACTGCTGATTTCCAATTATTTGATAGTTCTCATCCATTTGAAAAATATGATTTAGTATATTCTCGAAAATTTTGGTTTGAGAAACAGGGAACAGTATGTATAAAAAAGTTACAAAGTTTCATTTAATTTATCTCTTGCAAAATTTTTGAATAATTAATAATTACAGATTGATAATGGAGATACGTTACCATTAAGATTTGTATGGGGCATTAAGCCAGTCGATAACGGCAATTATTTGGATCCTGGTTTAATTGGTACACCAGAATGGGATGAATCTTTTGATGTATCTCATCCAGAATCACAACTATGGCTTGAAAAATTTTGTCGTGATTTACGAGCTCAACCTTTCTATCGTAATACTTTAGGACCTTTACTTCCTAACTGTTTTATCGAATCATTAAATAATTGGATGCAAAGACGTTGTGAAGATCCTATTGATTCACGCATTAACTATACACCATGTTGTGAAAAAAGCAAATTTCCATATAATGCTAGCACTTTAGAACGATGTGCAGTTGAAGCTAATGCAAAACTATATAGTACTCCATCATATTTATGGGTTCGTAATGGCGTTTTTGCTGGATTAAAATTTTTAAACGAGCCAAGTCTTAAACAATTACGAGTATCGAATGAAACAAATTCTATAATAATGCCAACGCCTAAAATTAAAGCTCTAGTAGTCGAGTATGATAGCATATATAATTACACTCTCTCATTCTCAAATATGGATCAGTTTTTTCATCAGGTAAAATAAAATTGTGTTTTATAAATATGTGTATATTTGATATTTTTTAAAAGTGATACTTCATTATTAATAAAATCTCAATCTAAAAAATTATATTTTCGTAGGTTGAAACATGGATGCAGAGTCAGTTAAAAAATGCTCCGTTAGGAATGCGTGGTGGTTGGTTCGTCAGTAGATTAGAATTTTATGAATTACAACGAACATTGTATGAAGGAACACTTTGGGCAATGGGCGTTTCATTGATTCTAGCTCTTATAGTGTTGATTTTTGTAACATTTAATCCCCTTATCAGTTTGTATGCAATTGTAACAATCGGTGCAGCAATTATAGTAACAATTGCTGGTTTGATACTTCTTGATTGGAAATTAAATGTTTTAGAAAGCGTCGCAGTGTCTACAGCAATAGGTATTTCTTAATATAATAATTTTTATCTTCATAATTTGTATATTATTAAACATGTATTATTTTTAGGTTTAACTGTAGATTTTAGTTTGCATTATGTAGTAAGTTACAAAGCATGTACTTCTAAAGAGAGAGAGGATAAAGTAAAAACAGCTCTTGCACAAATGGCTGGTCCAACTTTAATGGCTTCTCTCACAAGCGGCGCGGCTGGTGCTCTTATGTTACCTTCATGTGTATTGGCATATATTCAAATTGGTATTTTTTTGTTACTCGTAATGAGTATAAGTTGGATATATGCTACATTTTTTTTGTGTCCAATATTAGCAATAATAGGTCCATCATCTCAATTTGCTCAGTTTCAATATCCCAGGTAAATAACGTAATTGTAATTACTTTATAACAAGTATCAGTTTTTAAACATTAATTGGACATTTATATAATAAACTTATACAGATTAAATCTATTATGGAATTATCTCCGCAAAAACAAGTCTGGAAATGTGCCTGAGTCAAATACAGATAATAGTAGGGCTAGAAGAAAGATTAAAGGAAGGGGAATGTGGTCAGAATCTACTTTAAGTACATCTAGTACAGTATGTCAATTCCACTGTAATGAAATAGAAAGTTTCACAAGACCACCGCCATCGCCATCATTACCTCCATCTCCATCGTCAGCATTACTTCAGTAAATTGAAGATTAAGATTGAAGAATGAAGATATTTAGTGATAAGATGGGCATATTTTAGACAAAAAAAGGAAAAAATTACGATGTAGTATATACACTTTCAGATTTTAAATCGATGAATTTACTTGTTCGTGTGTAACTTATGTCCTATGTAATCTATGATCGTGTGTCACTAATGTGTCATTGGCTGTGTTCAAAATAGTTTTAAGATAATTATTTGTATATTCATCTATCATTAATATTCATTGGGCTTCCTATCAGTTACGCAGGTATATACACATTATATCCATTGTGATATGAGTCAGGTTTTAAGTGCCAAATATATCGCAGACTGTTTTATATTTTACGATCTATTTTGATTTCGGTTTTTAAAAAATTTTGAAAATATTCTATGTTAATGGATGTAGCTTTAATATAAGCGATAATACCGATAAAGTATTATACTATTAAACTTGCATTTACATATCCATGAATGCATTTTAACTTCTCGTTTTTATTGAAACTTTTGTATTATAACATGTATTTATATTTAATTTGATATAAATATAGACATTTTTTTAGATGCAAATATTAATAGGTTAATTTTTTTTTTATATATACTATATACTTAGATACTATAAAATGTAATTCAAATAAATAGACTTTAATTTCACGAATAATTTAATATATTTTATCAATTACTATTTAATTTTATCATTTTTATATCGTTTTAAAGAGAGAAAAAATAAAAATATTTAAATTTATAACTTAAAGTTTACATCGTTTAGTTTTTAAACAAGACATTATAATAACTTTAATGGTATGAATGGATTTATTATGTATTTAAAAATAGAAAGGTATTGATTCAGCTGTTTTACTGAATAATGCTTTCAATCTCGTAAAAAGATGTATGTGTGTATGTCTGCAATTAAATTTAAGAAAAAATAATGGAATGTGGTAGACGTATTGTACATCATTTTGTTTCAAAATTATTTATAAACTATATAAAATATATTGTGAGAGGACTCGCAGAAAACGTAGGGTCTAAAGATTCAAAAAAGATAACAGCTGTTTTCAAAAATGTATGTATTTCTCAAAGGTCGGTCGCTAATTGCTCGCCGGATTCTAACGTTGAGCGATACACTTTTTGCTTTTATTGTCAGGGCGATACAATTTTTGTCTCGCGCTGACGGTTGGTGACCTGACAAACACGTTAGTTCTAATTCAACGTGTTTTCGCTTACAATATACTAAAAGAAGACTGACAGATTTTTATAATTTTTGTTGATAGATGTTATTGAATATACAAGAGAAGTTTAAAATGTATTTTTTTTCATAAATAATTATTTAAAAATGTTTTCTGAGATGTCGTAATGAGTAAAACTTAATACAAAATAAACATTTATTACGTATTCTCTGATAATTCATCTAATTATTGTTTGATTACTATTAATAAATTCAAAATATTACAAATTATTATATTTAATACAAAACGAAATTATCCTTTTATACACATCTCGTTATTTAAAAAAGAAGATATAAATTGATAATTTATGTAGTACATCATGCTTTCAAAAAATAAAAGTTTATGCTGTTAAAAGAAATAATCCATTTTGTAATTACTGTATATGTGTTTATCAATTGTTTCAATATTTGTAACTATCATAAGTTAGAAATGTATAAATACATTTATATCGATATAATGTAGAATGCATTGGCAATCTTTCATATATCTATATACGTACTGTATATGTATGTATGTTAAATTATATTATAGCAAGCTTATGTATGTTAAATATACGCATCTTTGTTAATATTTATCTAGCATAAGCTGTGGTAAGCATGTAAACGTAAACTACGAAAAATTATATCTAAATTTCTCTATCATCATATCTGTATATCTTCGATAAAATTTTTAGCTAATACCTTAACTAATAGCACTCCGAGTACTGTGCCGGGATCATTTTTGACTCGCCGGATTCAGGCTACGTACACAGACATAGGCTCCCCACCATCGGTTAGTTCCTTATAGCAAGAGTCTTCTATTACAGCCGGTCACCAAATGTGACAACCATCGACAAGTTAACAAACTACTACGAAAAATGAGGATACACCGACATACCTTTTTTGAATATCTTTCTCCTTTATGCATTTTCAGTATAGTCATTTCTTTATTCTTTCTTTGTTGAAATACAGTAATAGCCATTTTTCTGAAAACATTTAACAACAAATAGGAAAATATAGCCTCAAGTTTATATAGTTTCTACTCGCCAGTCTGCTTCAGACAACATTCGAACAAAGTATACGCTCTATCCACTCGGCAACAGTTATCATTGTTATTTTCATTGTTTTTATTTGTTATTTGTTTATTTGTTTGATATGTCCGCGCAACAAGCAAATGAACCTTCTGCTTTTTTCCTTGTGGAAGATTATCACAACGATGTTGAATAAATATTATTTTTTTATAAACCACGAGGCTGTTATATATTATATTTTTCTATATACATCTAAAATGCGAACATTCCACACAGCGCATTGATGTAATGTTCGTGAGAACCTCGAGCCTTGAGCGATCGTCAACGTGTTGGTATATACACGTGAGTTCGACCCTCGAGCAATCATAGATGCGTCTGGTTAATTGAATATCCTTGTGAGTCGAACAAATGGTAAATGACCCCGGTACAGGACTGCGCGCTTCAGTACGCGGAGGGATAGTGTCTCGAATAATTGTGGTTTTATAAAAACTGTTACTTTCTACAATTGGAGATATACAGTGGAATTTTGGTTCAGTGGAATTGTCTTTATTGATAAAATTTATAAATTGATAAAATATATATGAATATATTAATATATTAATACTTGTAATATTAATTTACATCTATATAAATGCATCTATCTGCAGAATAGGGAGTGAAAAGAAAAATACTGAATATAGAGTTATTAATACTACTGCTTCCAAGTTTTAATTTTAAATATTTATGTACAGCGGCGCCGTTTCATTACTAGTGGACTTACAGGGTCAGTTAATGGTCGTTTCTCAACTTTTGGTAAATTTGATTTATATTTAGGAATCGGTTGGGCTTTATGAACAGTTCTTTTTCTTAGCAGAGAAATTTCTTCCTCTTCTTGCTTTTTTTTAGCAGCAATTTCCTATTACCAGCAATTACATGGTATGTATTATAATTCTCAAAAAATAGAATATTATTAAAATGAAAATTACAGATCATTTTTACCATTTGTCTCTTTTCTTCTCTCAGTCTTTCTTTTTCTTTCACAGTGTCATCAAACTGTTTTCTTTCTTGAGCTCGAGTCACTGTATGCAAAGGTGGGGTTTTTGGCAATTGCAACATTCTTTTCGCCAAACGTGGTACAAATGGTGGTTTCTTCCACACCTGGTTTATAAGATATTTATTATTTGTTAACATTAGATATAATTAAAATATGTACGAAGTTTATCTTGGATAAGAGTATACACTTACTTCGATATTCTTTCCACTTTGCTTGTCGCAATTATCAGATTCTTGTACTTTTTGATTTAAGTTATTACTCGTTGGCTTATTTTTATCATTTATTAGTTTATTTTCTTCGTTTTTCTTCTCATTGTTATTACGACGATTATTAATAGTTTTAGTTCGAGATTTTATAAAGTTAGGCAGTGGATTTGCCCGAAATATTCTCACTTTAGTCTCTTCTTCTAGTAACTAAGAATAATAGAAAAGAAATACAATATCTACTTTAATAAAAATTTGTAAAATTAAAAGACATGATTTTCATACTTTTTTGAGATGTTCTTCCTTTTGCTTCTGTTTTTCTTGGTCCCGTAAATCGAAAGTGAATGGATATACTTCCTTTTTCACTTTATTACAAATTTTAGTATTAATTTCAGGTTCCTGAAATGTTCAATTTTTCTACAAATCAATCATAATTGATTGTCAGTTATTTAAATTGACATACCAGTTTAATATTATTACTATGAACTACATATTCTTCTGTTTCCTGTTTCTGTAAATTATCGTTTACGCATGTTTTTTCATCATCAGCATCGTCATATTTTATACTGGACAAAGAGAGATCATTGAAAGATCTATAAAGAGATAAAATTAAATTTTTTATTATTAGATGAAAAGAAAGTAGCTTGAGACTGATTTAAAGAATTTCAACTGTTGAGCTTGAGACTGATTTAAAGATTGTCACTGTTGTAATTCTTACACAATCAATGTATTGTCATTTGGAGTTGTATTTGGATATTCTGTGTTTGCAAAAGTCGAATTTTGCATGCTCACAACTGCAGTGGATTTATCTATAAATAACCATCGAGAAAAAATTAACATCAGACTTTTTTTGGATATTATTCAATGTTTATAATTGTACTTACTGAAAAACGAATCTTCTATATCAGGTGGATTCGTAAAATCTACAAATTGCGGAGATTCGATCATATCCCATTTCTCATCTTTATCCAAATTCCTATACATGTTCGAATTGTCATTTTCAAATTCCGGTTTTGCATTTTTCGTCTGCCACAATTTTCGAGGTAGTATTTTTGAATTATCTTTCGTGTATGCTATCGGCGTCGATGTTTGTGGATGATTTTTGTTCACTGATGATGAAGATGCCATTATTTTTTAATTCTAAGAGAATTCCATCATAATTAACCAATTTTTAAAATTTCAAATGAAATTCTCACTACACTCAATTTAGAAGTCGTTCATTTGTACTTTATTTTGAAACTAACGGATATTTCGCAACTGTAACACGTTTATATATAAACAGGTCAAATGGACTTGGAGGGAAGTCCTTGGACTTGAAGGAAATAACAGAATAACAATGATTTAAATAGTACATAATTACAAATGTTGCTCTTCTTCGTGCTAAGATAGACGAATG